ATGGAAATTAATACTATTAGGGACGTATTATAAAAGATATATATGAAGGAAATTAAGTAGGCGCAATTTTTTAGATGAAATTTAATAAAGCTATTGAAAAAAAAAGATATAATTGAATTTAGTAAAGATAAATATATAAATATCTGAAAATAATAAGATAATCGTATTTATAACGATAAATTCATAGCTAGAAAATTACGGCATTTTAAAATATATATATTTCCAATTTAAGAAAATCTAAATGAGAATATCACCAAATTCATATAATTCTAATCTAATAAGACTTAAATATAATTTAATAAAAATAGAATAGAAGACACGTATTCGAATAAGAATCTTCTTAATGGGTTACTTATTAAAAATATCTTATATATCTATCTCACGACACTAAAGTGTTAAATACTCAAATCTTAATCTGTGTCTATACTTTTCGAATGACCTCGAAATCATATTTTAAAATATGTATTTTATGATATATTACTAATACAATTCATAAAATAATTCAACAAATATTTAAATTATATCTCGTCAAAATAAAATTACATTGCGACTTATTAGAGAAATTTAATATTTCTTTATTCAACATAATATATTAATATCTAATTTTTTCAATCAATTAAGATAATAATTTCAAGAAATATACAATTTTATTTTTGTTGAAAAAAAAATCTCTCATAAAAGATATCTTAGGTCTGAAACGAGAACCTAAAAATTACAGTCATATTAAATACGAGAACCAAAGAATTATCACTACAAATAATCAAAATATATATGAGACCGATCATAGAAAGGCTATCGATATAATTTAACTTCGGCCTTAGAACTTTCCAAAGACTTGAGTTCTCTATTTTACTTATACATAATATTCACTCCTCAGAAACCAGCTTAACAACACTTCCAGGGGGTAGGGGGCGGGAGCAGGGCGTAGGTAGGGGAGGCAGCATACGGGGCAGGATAGGTAAGGGGTAGACAGGAGAGGTTGGGGCATGTGTTGGAACGCTGACCGGAGTAGGGGGCGGAGAGGGCGGGGGGAAGACGGCGGCTGCGTGAAATACGGAAGGTGGCCAGCTTCCACTTAAGTAGGATCAAGGCTAGGGGGCAGGGGGTAGAGGGTAAGAGGTAGGGGTAGCGGGTCGGGGGTAGGGCGAGGTTGGGCATGTGTTGGACCCCTCATTAGGGGGCAGGGCGGAGGGAACGGAAACGGCGGGGGAGGGTTGGGGTAGGGGCAGGGGCAAGCGGGGAAACCAGCGCCGAGCTGGGAGGGCGGCGAGAGCGGAGAGGGCGGGGAGCGGAAAGGCCTGCAAGAGCGGGGAGGGCGGGGAGAACGGGAATAAACCCGTTGAAAAAATGACAGGAGTTTATCGAATGGAGATAATTTTGGCTTCCTAATATCATAATATTACCACATCAAGTTTCAATACAAATCATATGTCATTGCTTCTTTGCAGGAGAGATTTAAAAGAGGAATGGGCATGCCTAAAGCAGTGACGTGATTTGGGCATTGATGCAAGGCTTTCTACAGATGATTTTTGAAGGTAGGTGCATAAAATAGAGTCAGCGGAAGAGACAGAGAGAGAGCGAGAGAGAGAGAGAGAGAGAGAGAGAGAGAGAGAGCGACAGAGAGAGAGACAAACAGGCAGACAGACAGTCAGGCAGACAGATAGAGATGCCGATATGGAAAGACTGCGCTCCTTCGTTTTCCGGCAGCTAAGACCTGCCAGAGAGGTATCGGGCATCCCCTGTGCTTCTCGGTGGCCTTGGTCTGCTTTCGGCCCTAGTGCCAGGCTGCGGCCACTTAACTCAAAATCGTCATGCTTAAGGTGCCGGCAATCCATACGTCAAGCAGATTCTCCGGTCAGCCTGCTGATGTTTCAATTCAACTATCGATCACCACTCACCGAGCCGCCCATGACCTGAGTGCCCCGCCTCATCCAGACCGCGCAAAGGCAAAGCTATGCAAAACGGCCTCAGTGGGCGAGTCTGCTTCGGGCAATGCCTGTCTGCTTTCTGGGTGTGAGCCTGGCTACCGACCGAACTTACATTACATGTGTCTACAGAATGGCTTCGGTTTTTCTCTGTCCAAAAGGCGGACCCCGCTGCTTGCTGATGTGAGGGCCCTGAACCCTCTGTCTGCGACAAGATCTGCCCCGTAGTCAGTTCCCCCATCTGCAGCTCCTCTCCACTAGAGTGACTAGAGCCCTCACCGGACCTTAGCTGCAGGAGGGTCATTCGGACAAGGCCCACTGTTTTCTCTCGCTCTGCCGAGTTTGGTCCCGGGTGATCCCTGCTACGCGGCTTTCCAGCGGGTCTCTCTGTGTGAAAATTCGCCTTGCAATCCCGCGCTGTGCCCCTCCATAGTGCGCAGGACAGGGTCCACCGCAACTTGGTCTTCTTTTCTTTCTCTGCGGCTCTTCTTCTGTCTCCTGTCAAGCAGCATACTTGTATCACGTACTTCTGCATGCACTTCCTGTAGCCTGAGTCAAGCACCCACCTCCGAGCCGGACAGTGACGGCCAGAAAGTCTGGCACGATTTCAATCTCACTTCAGGTGCTCACGGGCTCAGTTTCGAGATGGCTCTATCTCACGCATGCAGGCGTTTTGGGCACACGCCAGCAGCCACTGTAGCAATCGGCGATGGCGATGTCTGAGTAGCGACTGAGGGCCTAACGCGACGCTCCTGGCAGATACGCATGGCCAAGCTAAGCCGAAGGTGGGGCACCTAGGCCTTTGCCCGGTATCTACGCAAAACGCTGTCTTTGTGAGGCCATCAAACGAATCATGATCTGTCCTGTTGCTCAATGGAAGCGTGGTCCGAAACCTCCTCCGAAGCCACCGCCACCGCCACCTCAGAATTAGAGGGCTTCACATACCTCTCTTTCTCTAGGAAATTACATGTACATTGTTTTTATCTTTTTTTTTTTCTCTCTCTCTCTCTCTATCTTAACCGGGACAGAAGAGGCAGGCTCGAAACCCACCCCTTCGCGCGTGCTTTGATGTCTCGGCGGGGTTTTAGGCATGTGCATCTTTCTCGCTCTCTCTCCTTTCGTCATCGGCATGGTATGAGTCTGTAGCCGCAAAAGTTGGTGGAAAGGGCAACATGCGGCAGCGAGTTGCAAATCTCGTCTGCAACGGAGCCACGAAATGGGTTTGGCCTGAGCACTTCCATCAACTCAGTCTAGCGGCTTTCAAGTCTAAGTGCATACTCAGGCTGCAACGGTGGTCGAAAACCAGGGGGCTCCAAATCGTGTGGTCCGCCAATGACCTGCAGCATTTTGGCTAAACGTCACCAGGTCACCCATTAGCGACAGCGAAGAGTGCTCGTGTTGTGGCGAGTTCTCGACACCTCGACACATCTGTCTCAGCCTCTGGCGAAGGGAAAGCCTCCTCCTGGCATCTGCGGGCCTCAGAAGCATGCTGACGTTGAACTTGGAATGTGCAGACCGACAGATCCAAACTCGGCATGGCACGCCGTGGCTGAAGCAGCCCTTCTCTTAGCCTGCCTGCAGTCACAAGCCCCACTGTTGGTACTAGTTCGTAGTGGTGGTGACTAGCTGTCACCGTTTCCGCAAAGCCTGCCTCGCTCGGCTAAAGCTTCCTGTCTTCGGCGCTGTGCGGTTTCAGCTTCCCGACGTGCGCGTTGCACCTTCAACGGTTTCACTCATTCAGGCGAACAGACACTGCATGCTTCGGAAAGCAAGCAGGATCCGATCTGATCGGCATAGCGAGAACGAGACTTTCAGTGCGTCGGCTCCTGATCCCTGCCTACCTCGGTACGAACCAGATTGCGGTAGGCTCCACGTGGGATGGCCTCGTCGCAAGGGAACCCGACACCGTCTTGAACGTCACAGTACTCAATTATCAGTGCTTTTGCCTCTCCGTTGCTCTCTCGTTTCCTCAACGCGTCCAGCTCCTGCTGGATGTGTTGGCTTTGGGGCAGAGATAGCACCACCCGCAGCCAAACAATATCCTCGGATTGCACACACCCTGAGCCCGAACGTTCTGCAGCCGGCTAGGCCAATTGTTTTACGACGTTTTACGCCATGGCTTTGCCAAGGATCATCGTCCATGATTGATGAAGAAAGGCTTCGGCAAGTCGAACTCACCGCTGACAAAGCCTCATGTGCATTTCTCACGACTGATCATTCAGGATGCGTCGGTTGCATGCAGATGCTGCTGTGTCTGTCGACAGGTACGACTCCCTACGAGTAAACAGCTGCCCACACAGATCCCAGTGACTCCAGGGCAACTGCATACTGCCATGCTGTACGCAAGACGGTGGCTACAGTCGACAATACTACAGCATATTCTACATGCAAACGGTCTAGCAGAACAGATCTACTTGAAGCAGTCCATCTTAGAAAACATTTCATAGATGTTCCAGCTTCGCCCCTGAGAATCTCGGCAGCCTGAAGCACAAAACAACCTGCTGCAGCGGAAATGAACCTGTAAATATTACAAAAAACACTTGTGTGACACTCGCCCCAGCACAGATTGTTAGCGGCACGGCATGCGCACTTTAGTTGTGGCTTTTGGCTGCAAGGTAAAAAAACGTCGGCAGTGTGCTATGGTCGTGCATACGTCCAAGTTCGTAACTTCACCAAACAGAAAAACCATGGTCCAAAAAACATGTACATCCCGACACCAACACGGGAAATTCCAGACTTCCTGCTGCTATAGATGATGTCATATTCTGCTTGTACCAAACTCAGAGCATGCGATAAGCCACTGACGTGCAACGCCGCCTCCTTATCCTGCTGCTAGCCCGTTCACAGCCCAACAGGGTAGCACCCGACACAGCTCCCCGGGACCACACCCAAATGTTGTAGATATATATCTCTATGTGCCTTACCGGTCTTCTACAGCATCCAAGGCCAACTCTTGGTCATACTCTTGGAGCATCCCTTACACAGCACCCTGCAAACCACCTGAATCCAGATGAAAGTTTCAACTTACCACAATCGCTCATAGCATTGCACGTTCCTTCTCGGGGCAGCACCTACAAGATCCAAATTCCCAACTTCCTGCTAGGATCTGCTTCTCATGATAGTCCCAAGAGATCCCATGCCAGGCCCAGAACCCCCCCGACACATCTAGATCACAAGTTGCTCTTGATGCCCCAGCTCAGAAACCTTGTCACGCACAGCACCTCCACTCCATGATCCGGATCCATAAGCTGCTGAAATTTGCCCGTAACGTCTCTGTATGCTCATCAAAACAGCCACAGCACCCGACACCCAAAAGCAACGCCGCCATGACATCCCACAGAGGACATTACCCAAACCTGACAGCACCCATCTATCGTGGGATAACAGATGTCCACAGCAGGGCTTAGTGAGGAGTTGCAGTCTTCATGCTAAACTCTAAACGCAGCCAGGGTACTGGAATCGAAAGGCAACAGATGAAGCCAAAGAGCGCCTACACTACATGAAGCAACTAGCATCGCCAAGAACAGCGTCCCACAAAGCTTTGTGTACAGGGCTGCCTCAGGCGGTGTGGCCGTCAACATTGGCACACACTGGCGGTAGAGCAAAGGGTAAAGCCTTGGACGGTGCACAGCAAAAAAAGGGGGGGCTGTTTCAAGCCACGCACTTCCTCTCTAAACGAGACTACACATTGCGGAGGAAGCACAGCAAGTAGTCGATCTTCGCTTGAACTGCGGCGGCTGGCATGCCAACCTGGACGGTCGCCTGTCACTTCACACGGAACCGGCGCCACTTGAGACTAACATTGAATACCATGAGCTTCAACTACAAAACGAATGCTGGTCTGGCCTTGAGTGGATTGTCGAACTGCACGGAAGCAGCATATGTAACGAGATGCCGCTGCAAAGGGACCTTGCTTGTGCTTTTCGTGCAAGATGAAGAGACCCAACGATGAATGCACATTGATATGTACGTACTTGCAGGAGAGCATCGTAAGTTACTCGAATGGGCGGCTTATGATCATGAGCATAGAGCAAGCGATAGTGACCACAGCACTCCTGCGTGCTTGTTTGGAGGTCGCGCTACGGATCGGACTCGAAAAGTTCTCTTCAGGCCTGCCATAAACTCCCGGCCCTGTAGTTCTGAAGCTTTCCAACAATCTACAGGTGGCAAGCTGACTTTCTGTTGTTGAGAGCAATGACTATTCGCAGCCATATGCGGGTCTGACCGAAACGCAACATGTCCACGGGACAGATCGGAGCTGGGCCAACAGCACGTCTAGCACGTCTCTTTTACTGCAGCACGTTCATCAGATATCCTCACCTTGAGCAAGTAGCGGAAACCCGAAGAGCAACCGCCCGACTCTCCTGCTTCTCTTCGCTGGTGTAGCCGTGGCCAACGAAAACGCAGTGCACAACATGAATCAAGGCATCCATCCTTAGCTGCCGTCTGAACACACTGAAAACCTAGCCGTAGCCAAAGATCGCACAATCAAGGGCTTCACTCCTGCAAAAATCTAGATTAGATGAGCAAAACGAAAATTCCTGCTCGGCAAGGAGTCCTTGCGACCACTGGCTGCGGGAGTTTCGGTGCAACAGGAGCAGTCTCTGCAATGATCGAGCTGCTGCCTGTGCGCCCAGAAAGGCATGGAGGCATCCCAACTCATCAGGAGTTTGCGCATAGGTGTTTGCAAAATCTGCAGAATGCGAGTATCAAGCACCTTTCGCAGCATGCCATCGCCCAGCCTCCTTTTGCTCGGCTCTCAGCCGCTGCCGCTGCCCGTGCTCGTCGCTCACTGACACAAGCAGACATAGGAAGGGCTTTTGGAAACGTGAAAGAACGGCTGCCGAGAGCATCTCTCGTGGCTGCACTATGCAGGCCTGTGAGAGACACAGTGCAACATGCAGCGACTCTGCCAACTGAATCTCGCAAGCCTTTGCGTCGGTGCAGCCGCCACAGGTGCAGGCGCAGCAGATGAGGTTGGCATACTGCGCTGTGCTTCTGCCTTGCTTGCTTCTGCAAGAAGCTGGTAGCAAGCATCAAACTCCCGCAACCCAGCCCCCCTCTGCAAACATGTATCTGTCTGTCATCCTATCACGCTAGAAGCATGAACGTGGAAATTTCGTGGGCTTTTCTGTAAGGGTCGGAATTGCTGGCAACTCTGGAACCGGCGAAGCCGCGCCTGCGGGGGCTGCCAGAGCACCGAGCTCTGCGGTCGCGGAGGCGGCGGCGGGGCGGCGGCTTCCTGCGTCTCTTCGGCTTCGGGTGCTCGCACATATCGCACCCGAAGATGGCATGAGCGACTCGTGGGGACTTCTCCTCCGAGGCCATGACTACGTTGCCTCCTCTTGCTGCAAGGACATCGCGCGCCAGGCCCCCGACCTTGCAAGAAATCTCGAGACCCCACTGGGATTTGCTACAAGCTGCAACCTAGCCGGAACTGGGCCGCCGGCAGTTGCCCATCTTTCGGCCAGTGCAAGAACCTTTTCTCGCATTTGAGGTCCATATGTTTGTCTCGCCGGGTCCTGAGTTCGAGCTCTCCTCTCCTTTGCTTCCCGGATCTTCATGACTCATGGCTGACAAGGCTCAGTTTCGGCGGCCTTCCGGCTCAGCTTTTCAACCGTCGGACCTGCACTGCAAATCGAGGCCCGACGTCTGAACTTGGCGAAAAACCTCGCCTGTCTTGCCGATGAGCTCGCCCAAGTGCTGTAGATCTCGAGTCTCACCATCAAGCAGCGCTTGTGTGGTGGCCTCAATCCTTAGCCAGTTGGAACTACGCCAGATGCTGCTAAAGAGTCACTTAACAAGCCTCAGGAGTGAACCCTAAGCCCTTAAATAGTTGGTGCAGCAAAACAATCTTTATCAACATATCTTAGTGTCTCATCCACAGCCTGCGTGGTCCGCTTGAACTCTGTCATCCGAGCGATGAAAGGCGCCAGTCTCGGACCGAGTATACTGTCTGAGCTATTCTGAAAACAACGGGGGTTGAGAGCCAACAGCCACTCCAGAGATGAAACATGTTGCTGCAAAGGAGTTAAGATCTCTCTCTCTCTCTCCTACTTCCATGCGATGAATGGTCGTCTTGAGCCATGCTTGCAGCCAACAGCGACAATTCCATTGCCATGCGGCTTCAGCGAAACGGCCCCCCCCCCCCAATTTGCCGGGATCACCCGAAGAAGCGTGCTTGCGGCACGTGTCGACCTCGGATGTCGCGCAGCACCGCAGTTTTGAGGCTGACAGTGGCGGCCTTTCAACATAGTATAGGCCTAAAGAATTAAATCGGGTTTTGGATGTGTTAATCAGTGGCATCGGCTAGGCCTTGGGGTTGTACGACAGTGCATCAAGTGTGTCCCTCCGCCGGTATGTGGACATCTTGCTCCCACTTCGTGCAGTAAACCTCCTTCGAGTACCCGGGGAAGAGTCCTCCATCCCTTTTTGCGGCTGGACGGCTGCACTTTGAGCCTATGCCAGTCTCAGAACAGCAGCATCGGGCTATCCCAAAGCTCGGGGTTGTGCCGATGCTCCATGCTCCTGTTGTAGCATTCTCCACGCATCGTGGAAAGAACATGGTCACCCGCATTGCTGCGACACTTCATCGGCTGATTTTTCCCTCTCGCATGGCAAAGGATCAAAGCCCACTCGGCTGATGTTTTTTGGGCTTTGCGTGCCATCGTTGGATCATGAGCCCGGCAGCCGTCCAAGCTACAATGCTACAACTTGCTTAACTGCGCCAACTCATCCAAATCAACTCCACTAAGTCATGCACGAGCTCAACGAGATGCTGCAAATTTCGCACCTCGGCCGCTACCAAATGACAGGCGGAGCACTCAGCAGTTGGTGCCTACCAACATTATGCTTGCGCCCTCATCAGTCGCTTTCTAAGATCGAGGCGGCAACTCCATTGACCTGATCAACCAGTGGAGCCCCAACCCAGCCACTGTCATAGCCTGCAGTCATCACTCTTCCGCGCAATCGTGGTCTTGCGGCATTTCTCGCTCCCCCTCTCGCTGCCTGTGTTGATGGTGTCCGCGAGCACCTGCCCATGCCGACAGGTCCGCAGGTGCTGGCTGCTAGACACAACGGAAAGTGTCGCGCTTTGATTCATTCCCGCGTGCGTCAGTGGTTCGAGGATGTTCCGTGAGAGGGGTTTTCTGGCTGGTCCGCTCCTTGGCCTTAGCGGCGTCTGCCTGTTTCATCCGTTGCCATGCGTCTTCTCCCACACGCCGTCGCATCGTGTGGGTTGCGAGATGTACCAACCTTATCCAACTCTGTTGTGTCTTGAGTTTGGAGTTGTCCAGAGCCATTCCTGGTTTCATGTTTTGTGAGCACAAGACAGGCAGCTAGGAGAATCCTCCATTTGAGCACGATGCCCCACCGTACTCCACTCTGGTGTCGACACCACAGTGTTCCGTCCGCGGAGTAACCACGGGAGCCTTTAATGTCTAGGCCTTAGGCCATCGCCGCGAGGCTAAGTGCTCCAAAGCCCGATCAACACAACCATTCAAAAGGCTCAGAAGCTTGGCTGGGCAGCTTCCAGAGTTCACAACAGGCCTGTGTTAGAATAACAACCTCGTCCCTCTCCGGAGTCACGTGACCCGATAGGAACAAGTCCTGCCAGGATCGTCGGGGAGGACATTTCCGACTCAGATCCGGAATCTCCTGCAGGTGCGACGGCCTGTCGTTGGCGGCCCAGCCTTGCAGGTACTCGTTGCCTGGGACAAGAGGAAGGTGTGAAAGATGGCGGCTTATAAGTCTACCGTATAAGTATTACAGTCATTACAGTATACGGCATCGAGCCCCTGGCAAATGTCTCCACAGGTCGACGTGCAATTTTGAGCACACTGCCGGTGGTTCTGTTGGGTCTGGAAATGATAATCGCTACCTTGCACTACACTTTTTTGCTTGAATCTCAAGCGGCAGCAGGTTCATCGTCAGTCCAGTCGAGGGCCTCCTTGACATACCTGAAGCCCAGCCCGACCAGCAGCAGGGCAGCTGGGAATGCACCTGCCTGCCACGGCAGCCAATCGGCATAGAAGGCCCCCCTCGCCATGAGCGTAGCAGCCAAAGGGATGGAGCCGATCGCCAGGAGCTGCGCATTGATCACGCTGGTCATGCGATTGGCCAGTTTCTCTGACACGGGTGCAATGTCCTTATCTCCTGCTTCATTTTGCGCGATGGCACGCTTCACAACCGTGGTCGTCACGAAAAAGGAGACAGCACCTGTGACCGCAATAAGAGATAACTTCACCCAAAATATCGGTTCGTGCTGATAGAACTCCCAGCCTTTCCCATACTGCGTAACCCGCAGGTAGCCTGTAACCACAATGAGCACAGCAGCCAGTCCATATACCGCATCCGTGACTTGCAATCGTTGCTCCTCTTCTCTGGTCATCCCAGCTTTCACAGTCAAGCGCTCGGTCACGAGACAGGCTGCAGACAAGACCAAGCCAAGATAATGGCCGTATGCGACAAAGGCCGAGGCAAAGCCCGCCTCTTCTTGTGCAGATGCAGGAGTACTGAGAAGGAGAGGGGTCATGGCCAATGCGGCAGCGGGACTGTTTCCGCGTGGTGCTGCCAAAGTTCTTGTGGAGCTATCACTCTTTGCGGGGGGCACGAAAGTCGTTTGTGCACCTATGGCGCCAAGCAGTATCAGCGGCCAGACTCTCCGTTTGCGACAGCTATGGCTCGCCGCCATTGCCGGACGGAGAGTCGCTGCGGTGTCAGCGGTGGACCGTGGCCGAATCCGAAATGCTGCGGATCTCCACGGCCAACGTCTGCTATGCCTCCATCCGTGCCTGCAGGATTAAGGATATGAAGGAGATCAGACAACTTTCCGAATCCGCTCCAAGGAGCCCAGTACTACGTCTCATGCAACGACAAGAGCAGGCGCGTGCACCCCTTACAGGCTCGAGTCTCCAGGCTTTGCCACGTAAGCTGCCGACTCAAGGGTTGGAAGACCAGTCCGCCGACCATGAAGAAGCGTGGCCGCACGTCGAACTGACCCCTGCATCGGAAAGTACACCCTTCGCAAAGCATCAAAGTCAGTTCGATGACAGTACACATAGCAGCTTGGATCATTGGAAGATGTGTCTCACCTAGTTGCGATTCTCTGTGCGCAACGAGCACCTGGGCACCAAGTGACGTGCAGGCTGCAAGACCTGGCAGAATGCACGGCTGTACTCGTCTTTAAGGCAAATTGTTGGTGCAGCTGACATGCACACGGATGGTTGCAGCACCGGCTGCTTTGCGATGTTTATCACCTTGTTCAAACCCTTTCGGCACTTTTGCCTTAGGCTTCAGCTCCTGATCTGAAGAGCTGAAACAGTCTTCACTGGTGCTCTCTGAATGACCACAGACCCAGGCTCCCAACTGCTTAGAGCAGAGTCTCCAAATAGACTGGGAGATTAGGGAAAGGGTGGATGGACAACCAAACAAACGGTCGAAGTCGTCATACCCGAAGCCCTCAGATTTCGGAACCGGCCCGGGGGGAAGTAGCCATGTGCCTGCTGGACCGTCTGCTCGACTTGTGATCGCCATACTTTCATTGTCACTGTGGTGCCCACACGGCCTGCAGCCGTAGCAGTCAGTAGCCGGCCATTGGTAAGTTCACATTGGAAAGCATTAGACTGGGCCGAATATAGGCATCAGCGCTAGGCTGCTGGCAAAGGTCACGCGCGGCACCGAAATGCAAACGGCGTCCTTTCTGTGCGGACTGGTGGATGGATCGGCATCAGTCTAAACTCTAGACAGGGGAAATGTGCTGGCTGCTGCATCACCGTCTGTTGACTCATACATGCACTGTTGCTGTGGCGTGTGGTGAGGTGCTTCTGCTTCAATCGTTTGGCAATGCCACCGACGCACTCCATAGCACTTGTTGTTGGGCCGTAAACAACCGTGAACTCTGCCTTGCAGTATACGGTACGCGCTCAACTGTTTTCGTGCCCCCGAAAAACACTGCACGGCTTCCGCAAATTCCAAGCACGAAGCCAAAACAACGACAACAACCCTGCATTCCCTACTATTTCTTAGCATGTCACGAGATTCGCAGCATATGCTCGAAGCCTCAGTAATTCAGACCACTACATGCATCCAAACAGACTCGACATGAAGAGGACTTGTGCGACGCTGTCGAAATGGCATAGAAGCAAAGGTTGGCACTCCGATTTTCAAATCCAAGCCGCACAATCAGAACAAAAAGGCCGCGCGAGGAGATCAGTTCTTCCAATCTTGCATCAAGACAACGCAGGCTGTAAGACTGACGGTTCGAGAGACGGTAACTTGCAAACCACGGCCATCACAGCAAAATGTTGGGGGCTTGCTGAGGCTCCACAGCCCTCGTGCAAGATCACTCCGAGCTCGTCCTTCTACACCGAAGGCATCCTCGCAAGTTACCCGCGTCTAAGGCTGGTGCCAAGGAGACTGCAAAATCCAAGCTCATCCAAGTCAAAGCCTCAGTAGCGACAAGTAGAGTACCTACGGACAACTTATCTCCACAGCGTCGGTCCCGAAATGTCCCGAACAAACTTTGCTGCACGAACAAAAAATGCATATGCTGGCCGGGCTTGTGGCCATTAAAGGACATCAGCACGTCGCCGCCTTGCAAAGCCTGATACCAACTCAGGAACGCTGCGAAGCAGCCGCGAATGCTCACCGAGGCAGGAACTGCTGGGGCGTCACCGGCCTTTGTCTACATTGACACTAATATATATTATATACTATATATATATATATTATACTACATTATATTATATTATATTATATTATATTATATTTTATTATATTTTATTTTAAAATATATTTCTGCCGATCCTTTCGTGGGCCAAGGGCAGCGATGCTTTGCCACCACCA